ACACATTTTCAGGAAAATAAAAATGTTTACCATGTAGAGAAGCCCAGTTTATATTTTTTGAACTTTGAGATATTAGCTTTCTAACAACTTTGTAAATGAAATGGAGGACGTTCCCTAGTCTTGGCTCATCTCTACAGATCCAAACATTGTTACCACTTTAAGAATTACAAAATACCCAGAAAAAAGGAAAAAATATTAAATTCCTTATAGTTCTCAGACTGGATGGAAAAAGCGCGTTCCTCAGTGGGCTGCTTTCTGCTTTGGCTATCCATATTCATATAAGCAGTGCCAAGACAAAAAAAAAAAAAAGGCAGTCAGCAGAAGCTTTCAACAACTTACCCACATCCATTAATGATTCTGCATTGAAACTTCTATCCTGCTTGAAAAGATAGAGTGAGTACAAAGAATTACAGGTACTGGCTAACAAAAGTCCAGGGTTGAATTCAAAACAGACACCGCTTACTCTGAGAAGATAGTGTGTCTCCTTATAAGGATGCCATTTTATATTTGCTGTCTGGAAATTTTGATGGTGTGGCAGGGGTTTGTGGGGAGAAAGAAAAGTGAAAAAGCACAGTCCAGTCTGTTGGTAACATCTTTACAAACTCAGGTACCACTACCCAATAACCAAAGAACTGGTCCATCAGGTGAATACAGTCAGATGTCTGGCCTCATGGACACCCAAGCAGTCAGCTAATTGGCTCCATTTTTCACTTTCAATTGATTGATTCAATATCATACAGACCTGGTTTGCTTCAATTTGGGCCTACATACTGACAACTAATAAGGTGACCTAGGCCCAAATTGCAAGCAATAATGACCCTTCTGCGGTCAGCGTCACGATGGAGACAGAAAGCTTAAACAACTACCAGAGGGACTCGTGGGTTGAAAAGCACAGCATAAAAAGATAAAGCTGGGGTTTGGAAGCTTGCACTACTGCCATCCCTAGGCGTGAAACTGTAAATTAAAGAATGGTCTGTTGTCTGCTGCACTGAGCCAAATCAGAGACATTTCACATACACACTTTAATTGGGGTTTTCGTTCTAATTGAAGAAATAAATTCTACCTAAGCAGATGCTTCCCCCCCCCCAAACTCTCACTATGGTATGTTTTGCACATTGGCAAGTGGGTGCAAAATATCTGCAACATGGTCTCCTCAGATATAAGATGGAATTTCCCAGCTTTTAAATGGTAACAGATGTAGTTTCAGCTCTCATACACATTGGGCTCTCTCCCAAAAAATCACCCCAATCCCCCTCCGCCACCAGCTTTAATAACAAGGCGTCACAGCATAACTAAAAATCTCCCAGTCAACAATGATTCATGATTGGGTTTTTGGTTTTGTTTTTGTTTTGTGTTAGTAATGAATAAATAAGTGCCCAGTTCCCAAATGTCCAGGTCTCTCTATAAAGAACCCCCACCTTCATTATTTTTTTCACTTGCTTGTTTATAACCAGAGGTGTCATAATCAGGTTTCTTGTGAAAATGAAAGTAATCAAAAATGCCTTGTGATTCCAGGAAAAGAGCTTCTTAGGGAGACATGCCTGCCTGCTATTGATGTTGTAAAAAGGCTCCTTTTACATGGTATTAGATGTTGAGAGCACATCATATTGATCTAGAAATAAAAAGCTTGATTTTTTTTTTAGTACAGGCAACCCATACCTTCATAAGCACTTTATACACTAGGAAGATGGTTTTATTTTTAATTGAGGTAGAGTAAACAAATTATATTTGAAGAGCATTGCTATTTTTAGGGAACATAGGATTTGTAAGCTTTTTGGCAGCAATTCAGGTAAAAATCATGAATAAGTCTCACTCTTTCAAATTTGGCCCAGGCCTCTCCCTAACTGCCCTGCCCAGAGTCCAAGATTGAGAGTTAAAGAGTTGCTTTTGTTTTATTTCTTTTTTTTCTCCGTAGAAACAGTTAGGAGTTGATTCCTCAGTCATTTCAGCTCAAACGCTGAAAATGCAAACTGGGGATGAAGCAGAACCTAGGTCCCTTACGCACATACATTCTTCATCCCAGAAAATGGTGAAATGGCTGCGTAGAAAACCGCAAATCCTGGGGAAACGCACTGCCTGTCCGCATTTACCCCCAGATATTAAAGCTTCGGTAGCACTTGAGGGCACCTTCCTCTAATGATGTACATCGCTCATTTGTTTCTGTACTTTTAAAGTTCATACCGCACAACTGGAAGAAGAAATCAATATTTCAAATGATCTCCCTTTCCCCACCATACAATTCCACAGCACTAAGAGTAGCACACCACCCAATACCAGCCTGTGAGCTAATCATCCTCCACAGAGCAGCGCCAGCTGCTTTATCAGACATTCTTTCCAATTTTCTTAGCAACATGAGTCTCCTTTTCTAGAAGCAAGATCTTGCCTTTTGGGGAAATGCTTTTCCAAACCAAGTTAAACTAACTTTACCCGAAGGAACCGATAGTTTTCCTCTTTTTAAACCGCCACCCTCCCCCCCTTCTTTGGTTCTCTCCTTCCTGTACTCCAACCTTGCCCCGCACCCCTCCTTCTCGCCCACCTCCTTCGGTTTCCAAGGAGTTTGCACGTGATTGCCAGTCTTGCAAAATCCGGCCGCAGCCCTTCGCTTTTAAACGTACTAAACGACTTGTTTCCTATCTCAGTCAAGATGTTGCCAACCCTCCCATCGCTGGAAAGCCGTATCACTGCATGTTTCCTTACATCCAAGTCTCCTTTCTGTCGTCCCTCTGAGGAAAACAAAGTGCCCGAGTTGCACGGCCCCGAGGTGCAGGTCGGAGGTACGCGCTGGGAAACTTATCCTAACGCATCTGACTCCAGGACCCGGGGGCACGGGGCTGCCGAGGAATCCTGAATCCCGGCCGGGCTTTGTGCCGGGTGCGTGGGTCAAGCCTTTCCTACGGGTCTCTGTCTTTAAAGGCAAGCTGGAGTCTGTTTCTGACTCATCGACAATCACACACACACACACACACACTCACGCACTCACGCACACACGTGTGCGCAGACGAACACACACACACACACGTGCGCGGACGCTCCCTGCAGAGCCGGAGTTTGCTGAACCGGAGGGGTCACAGGCTTTTAGCAATCCCGAGCCAGCGCGCGGAGGCGTGGAGAGCACCCGGGCCTCGCCAGACATGGCAAGGTGGCCTGGAGGAAGCTCCCAGTGCCGGCCACGGGCAGCTGGAGAATCCCCTGAGCCCCGCAACTCCAGTGCCGGCGCGACCACCCCGGCCGTTCCTCCAAGTTTCTACTAACAGCTGAGCATCCCCTTTCCTAGCTGACTCGCCCGGAACCCCCATTTCACGTGCCTCGGCCGCCCTCCAGCCTCACCCTGAGCTCTGTACCCCCAGAGCCGCCGACACGTTTCCCGGGAGCGGCCCAGACGCCCCCACCCGTGGCGGCAGCCCGGCGGTCTGGCCAGAGCTCGCCGTGGTCTCCCGCTGCTCTAGCCACGGCGGCAGAAGCCTCTCCAAGGCTCCCTTATGTATTATTCACTGGAAGGGCCACGGCGCTTCACCGAGAGCTCACGCCAGAGACGCCAGGTCTTCGCCCGGGAACTACTAGTTGGGCGATTTCAGTTTTTTGGAAACTGGGGGTGATGCGGGGACGGCGGAGCACATTTTTCGGTTGTTTCGCTCTGGGGGTTGGCTTTTTTGCTGGGAGCTCACAGGAGCGCGTTGCGCCCCGGGCCCGGGAGGGAGCGCGCCAGAGCTGGCTAGTGTGGCGGGTAGCCCCGCGAGCGGCCAAGGCTGGCGGGCGGGCCAGGAAGAAGACACCGTAGCAGCCGGGGGAGCCGGGCCAAACGGAGCTCTTTTCCTAGTCGCCCCCCACCCCAGCCGCCGCGCGCGTCGTGGGCCTGGGAATCCCCCGCGCCCAGGACCGCCCACCGAGTTGCTGTGCCTTTCACCATTGCTCCTTCACCTCGCCTGTGGCCCCAACTTTCCCCAGCCTGGACACACACACACACACACACACACACACACACACACACACACACACACACACACACACACACACACACACCCCCTCCTCCCTGGACTCCAGCTCCACTTCGCTGTGTAGTTTGGGGATGATAGATGCCTGTAGACTTTCACCAAACAAGCGGTGGGGGCAGCAGACTACAACAGTTATTTAATTAAAAGGCATTTTCCTCTCTTTCTCGCTCCGGCTCCCAGAATAGCTTTTGCACCCCTAGACCCTGAGCACACGCCTGCCTCTCCCGGTTACCAGTGGCCCGCTAAAACCCGTCTGCTTCCACGCCCCCCCTTCCGGCGTCTACCCCCAGCTCCCCCTCCCTCACACCAACAAGCACACCTAGAGGCCGACGGTGGGGAGCGTGGAGGGCACGATGCAGCCAGACTGCATTGCACAGTCATCAAAGTTAAGTGTGTTTGTGGGGTGCTTGTGCGCTGTAGGGGAGGCGCGGGGTCACAGGCACCAGAGCATCCACTCTGCCCTACCCCCTCCACGGGGTCAGGGGACGCCTCCACTTGAGATTGCAGCCATTTTAGGGAAAGAGGTGGCTCGGGGCCCCGGGGGGAGTGGAGGAGGAAGAGCACGTCGCGGGGGACTCGCAGCTCCGCAGCCTCTCCGCGCAACTGGAGGGCCGGGAGGCGCGGGCGCACAGGGGCGCGGCGCCCGCGGCGACTTGGGGGAAGGTTGCGCTCGAGTTCCCAGGTCTTGCCGGGAGTTGTTCGGGGTAACGTGCGGGCTCCAGCCTCTTTCCGGATTCCCGCTGGGCTGGGAGGTGTGTGGTGGGGGAGGTGTGGATGGCAGATTGGGCACGAGAGGGACGCGACAGACCCTGGAGACTGGAGAGCCAGTGCTGGGGGAAGGGGGGTACCTCCTCTCGCCGGTTGGCACTGACCCAGACAGTGCGACCCACTTGGCCCCCCCCAGCCTCCCCACCCCCTCCCGAGCCTCTGCCTCCCCGCCGAGTGCCAAGTGAGCGCGCAGCGGGGGGCACGGGGCGCGACGTCGCCCGGTACCGAGCCACCCCTTACCTGGCTGGAAGGGGTTTCCCAGGAGGAGCCGTAGTTGTAAAAGAAGGAAGAGAAGAAGGTATCTTCCGACAGCCCGCAGCCCGCCATGCTCTGGATGCAAATAAAATGAGGAAAGGGGAGAAAAAGCACACACAAAAAAGCAACCAAAAATGTTCAAAATCAAATTAAACCAATAAGCGAAGAAGAAATTCTCTCGAAAATCAAGAAAAGGAGGGGGAAGGAAACGGCGAAGGGAACGGAAACTCTCGGCGATGCTCCCTCTCCGGCTGAGGAGGGATGCTTGGGCTGCCGCCGCTGCCGCTGCCGCTGCCGCCTTCTCAAGACGGTACCTAGAGAGGTTCGTCCTGACTTGGGCAGCCGCCGCCGCCGCCGCCTGTGCCGGCTGCGTGTGTGTGCGCGCGCGTGTGTGTGCGTGTGCGTGTGTGTGGTGTGTGCGCGCAGAGCGAGAGACCGCAGGGGAAGCGAGAGGGCGAGAGAATGAGCAAACCGGGATGGAGGGCGCAGAGGCAGAGCGGACGGGCGTGTGCGCGCGGGGGTGCGTGCGTGTGCGTGTGTGTGTGTGTGTGT